GATGGACTAGAGATGGGCGCGAGTGTCATTTCATTTCTTTAGAACTAAATTAACTTAATTATTTTCTCGTTATTTAACCTGTTCACATGATTTATGGATTTTAAATAAAGGGTACAAATCTTCGCGAGGATAATACGATATATTTGCTATACATAATAATTATATTTTGCATAGTTTATACACAATACATTTTTGAACGCGTACACATCTCTACCAAAATTTGACCTATTCATCGGGTTAAAGACACACATTGTCCGCTCTCTACTCATAAATATTTAAGAACGACTTTTTTCCAGCAATCTCCGCCGATTATAACGCACACGGCCGCCACCCCCCAAGACTCCCCCAGCACGACGCTGGACGACTTCCCGGAATTCCGTTACAACGTTACCGCCGTTATGAACGAGGACCTCCCTGTAGGTGACAGTGGCCCCGGCTGTCCTTCCACTGCAGAGTCCACGGCACAAAAGCCCTCGGTACGTCCATTGAAAGTACCATCTTATCGCCCGGTTTTTCCGTCCGATTTTTGCAATGTCACAGTTGCTCTCGCTTCGCGTTTGTATCTGACGAAAACAGTCGGAATTGCAAATTTATCTAACGGTTTATAAAGATTAATTCCAGTAAAAAATAACGTATATGGAACTAACAATTAGAAAACTACATTAAAAGCAATTGATTAAATTTGGTAGGTACATAATTAGTCCAGTCACTGAAGGCGGAAATAAAGTAAAAGCTCCCATTTTTTTCGGATAGCATGGATTTTTCTGAAAATTTACATACAAGCTCATCTGACCCCCCACTTCAAAAGTTATATTGTCTAGATGTGTGCGTTTTTACTATTAGGGGATGAAAACTACCCTTGTACGAAAAAAATGCGAAAATCGCAGATTTACGTATTTTAAAGATTCAATTCATGTTCAAATATGTTGCATAAAGTTCCTTTCATGTTTTTTAATATAATTTATGAAATTTAATTTTCAACCCTTAAAAATCCTTAAAAACTAACCTTCCATGTGCAGAAAAATAGAAAAAAAAGTTTTTAACAGTTTAAAATATTCTTTTGGTGCATTCACATTGTATTGCATTTCTTTTGTTATTTATTAGAAAGCTTACGACTCATTACAAAGTTGCAACCCTTAAAAACCATCCCTTATAACAAAATAGAATATTATTGAAAGGTCGAGATATTTTAATGGCATATGTTGAATTATAAACTTTTTATTGGTTTTCAAATGATCTATGATATATTGCAACTTTTCAGCCGCCCAAAAAACCCTTATGGAAGACCTACCTCTCATAAAAAAACCCTACCCCTTACAGAAAAATTTTCTAAAAATTGTATGTGGGTATGATGATATAATTAATTTTTTTTAATTTTATTGAATTTATTCTTAATATTTTTCTATTAATAAATTTATATCAAATAAAAAAAAATTGTATACATTATAAATGGATGCGTGTGTGTATGTATATTATTAAAATAAAAAAAAGTACTCCAAATTACACAAAGATGATGGTAATTTACCCGCACCGAAAATTTTACCGAAAAAATGCGATTAATTTTTTTACCATAACAATTTTAAAGTTATAAATTTACTCAAACAACCATTTTGTAGGGAATTTAAAGCACTTTAAGTTCCGTGATTTGCAGTTTTTTGAGCCCTTCGTTTTTTTAGATTTGCAAGCTAAAGGGACTCAGGAAAGGCAGTCTTGGAGCTTAGTTTTGAGCTTCTAACTTCAAATTTTGTCGTATAAAAATTTTAAAAAAAGCAAATTGTCCAGTAAGAAAAAGCTTACAATTTCTTATTATATCATTTTTTTATAACTTTGTTAGTTTTTGAAATATTTTGAAAAAAGGAGATTTTTAAAAAAATTGAAAAGTTGTATTCAAAAGTAAATATATATTTTTTTTTATTTAGGCTTCTAAAATCGTTCAAATTCCCAGAATATACTTTTAATACATAAATAAAGTAAATTGCAAAAGGAATACTTTGAATTTGTTTTCCGTAAAGTCATTAATTTTAATACCGATTTTTTTTTTCTCAAAAATCAAGATAATCATTTTATTTTGATTGTTAACTTCATTAGTTTTCATGCTAACGACTTCTACCACCACTCAATTTAAAGGTTCTTTCAATAACTTTAATAGGTGTAGGTGTTATATAAGTTTTCCTCGAAAAACCTTCAATTTTTCCGCTACAGGACGTTGAACGTTTCGATTATAGCTATCTTCGAAATTGACTTCAACTTCTGGGAGTCATAACTCAGGTTCTATACCATCTACAAAAATAAAAAAGCAATCTCTTTGTCATTTAATTACCTTCATTTTTTCTTATGTTCATTTTTTTTACCTATAAAACTTGTAGTTTTTGAGATATTCGCGAAAAATGGCTCAAAAACATGCATTTTTTGGGCTAAATACAAACATGTTTAGGCGCAAACAACACAAAAAGTATTGACTCTACAAACAATTTTTTGGCTTAGAATTCGTCCCTCTATCGAATTGTGAGGTTATTTTTAATAAAAAAAAATTCCCACCCTCCAGAACGGGTGGCATCCACCCCTAGGGTAAAAGCACACATCGGCACTATATAACTTTTGTTTCTTGGGCTATTCCCTAGGATACAGTCCAAAATTTCACGTCAATCCATTCCATCCGAAAAAATTGGTACCTAACCAAAATGCTTCAGTCACTGGACTAAAAGTTAGTAGGCCAAAAGGTAGTTTTACTTATTCAGCGTCTGTCTAAAATTATCGTGAAAAACATTTTTTTTACCGTGCTTATATTAAAAAAGAAATAAGCGTGGCTCTCTACCCTAAAGTCAAACTTTTTGTAATTCAGATCGTCAGAATATGCAATAAACAAATTGCGAATTCCAATTTTTTGTCACTACTGACTAATAATTGGGGTGATTCTTTACACCAATTTCAGAAAAATAGTTCCGATTATAGTAGTATTCTATTATGTCCTAAACGGTTTAGTTTTCGAGATACAGGGTGTAAAATTTTTTGAAAATTGTTACAAATTCTTAAACGTGTACATATTTGGTTAAAGGGAGTTTTAGAAATATTTTAGATTTATTATATCTGCCAAGCACATGCTTACAGTAAATGTTTGGAAAGACTTTTCGATAGACCCCAAATACAGTAACATTTTAGGGATTACACTGTACAGGATGTCCCGAAATTTATGCAACAAAATTTGGTCACAGATTCTTAAGACAAATTTAGGCGACCCGTATTTTTTATTTTTGCCAAGTGGACCCCTCTTTCGGAGTTACAGCCCCCTGAAGTCCGAGAATTTTTCGTCTCTTTATACTTTTTTCGTAAAACGCAATATTTTCGAAAAAAATGTCAAAATGTGATCGAATGCATATCGTGAATCGCCATTTTCCTCAAAAACATTGAGTTTTACGAAACAAATATCAAGAGACAAAAAAGTTTCTAAATTCAATGACTTTCTAGCTAACCAATAATTAAAAAAAAAATCGAATTTGCGACCAAATTTTTCTGGTTCCAAAGACATATGGGCCAACGAAAAAGTGTCTTGAGGGGGTTTCTCGCCAAAAAGCGTATCACTGTAAGGTTCCACATGTCATAAAACCCCTGTGTACCAAATTTAGTGATTTTCGTACAACATGGTTTTGAGATATAAAAAAGACTTCTTAGGGGCAGATTTCAGGGGGCTGTACTCCGAAAGAGGGGGCCAGTTGGCAAAAAGAAAAAATACGGGTCCCCTAAATTTGTCTTAAGAATCTATGACCAAATTTTGTTGCATNATTAATGCACCACAGCGACATCTATTAAAAGCTGGCGGCAAAATTCAGAACTAAACCCTCCGGTCATTGTCGACACCGCTTCTTCTTCTGTGCGTAATTAATGCACCACAGTGACATCTATTAAAAACTGGCGGCAAAATTCAGAACTAACCCTCTGGTCATTGTCGACACCACTTCTTCAGATAACTCTTCGGCGACCTTCCACGGACCCCCCTATCTTTGGTCTCTTCGGATGGACATGCCATCGAAGTGTCACAAAACCCCGCCAGCTATACTATAAATTAATTAAACTATCAGCTACAAGTTGTTCTATACATACATATTACATTTTTGATGATCTTTAATATTAAATTTTCTGTAAATTCCACATAGTCAAACGCTAGCATGCATGCGTTGAATTTTAGAGTTTTATTATTGTTGTTCCACCGCCAATCCTTTCTATGCAACCGCTTGAGTCATAATATTTAATTTTAATTTTAGCACCAATCCACTTATTCGTTTCTGCACATGCGTTTCAATTTTACCTTTAATTTTGAATTTACCACCAATAATGCCCGGCCATTTGTCTCCGCGCATAATATTAAACAAGTATTACATTTAATTCTAAATTTACCATCGTCGCGCACTCTGCCGATTCTTACTACGCGAACCTTTAAATCGTGTTATTTAATTTTAAAATACCCTTCGACCCCGCTGAGTCAATCACTCCTCTGTATATGTGTGCCCGGCCGTTAATGTTACTTTCCCGCGATAAACCGCGTCGTCAGATTTGAATTTCCTAGCAATTTGAATGTCGCGCCCCGCTCGGCCAATTAAATCTACCATGAATCTACCGCCAATTTGAATGCTGCGTTCTGATTGGTCGATCAAACGGTGGGGCGTGGTCTAAAAGTGGAAGGGTGGGGGTGGTCTATACCGCCGCCTTACCTACTCTCGAAAAATATCTTACAAACATGTATCCTTATATTTATGAGTAGAATCACCCCCTAATATTTTACAGTAGGTACCTTTAAAATTTCCTCTGACCGTAAAAGCAGCACTTTCTTCTCGACTTTTAAATCTTCAAGTGAATATGTCTCAAGAAAACAAACCACATCAATAACCTTTTTTAAAAGATTGCTTGTCAGTATGTGATTTTTCGAAACGTTTTAGTTTTCCCTTTAATAATTGTTTCTAATCTGAGACATAGTATGTCCTTTTTATACTTTACGTAAAAATTCCATTTTAATTTGTAATTGGCAGACAAGGACAACAAAATATTTTGTACTAAACTTAATTTCTTACCTCATATAATAAGCAATTTTAATATTGCTTCTGAGAGCACAAAACAACGTTAAAATACCCTCAAAGTTCTAGCATTTGTTTGTAAGTATTAAATGTAGGTATTGCCCTCAGATTATTAGAATGCTTCGAAACCGATGCATTTCGAGACTAATTTTGTGTAAACTTTTTGCCTATTTATTAAGCGAGAGATCATGTTCGAGTTTGTGCACTTTCTCGTAAACCACCCGCTAAAACAATTGACATTTCCAGAGCCTGAGCCTGCTCAAACCCCCCACCCTTTCCCCTCCTCCCCTCACCTTCCGCCAGTTCGAGCGGCCCCCCGACGAGCCCAACCACCTGGCGGCGAAGATCGTCATCCACAACGAGAAGGTGGGCTCGAAGACGATGTCCTTCTCGGAGAAGGTGACTCCAGTGGCCAGCAAAAACGACACCAAGCGTGGCCAGGACAAGAACAAAATCCAACGCAAGTGCTCCTGGAAGCTGGCCTCCAGGCCCAGTTTGAAGAGGAAGAAGAACAGAAGCGGCTCCGACTCGGAGGCGGTGCCCCTGAATAACGGCAGGGACCACTCGCAGTGCAATGGCGGCGGGGTGACCAGACACGTAAGTAGGGGTTACGTCAAAAACATTTTTTTTCGTCGTTTTTTTGTTTGTAAGTCACTAGGAAATGAGTTAGTTTAAAAAATATAAAGCGTCGTACAAAAATTTAGGAATATTAAATTAAATTTAATCGAATTTGAAACGTTCAAGTAAAAAATCTCGCGCGCGACGAGAGCTACGTTCACGCTAATGCGCGGATCCCGCGGTGGCGCTCCTCCCGCATGCAGACTGTTAACTTTTACTGCTGCTAGCGCGTTTATTACAATGGAACTATCAATGTAAAACTTTCTGAAAATGAAAGTTTAACCCTTTTTTTGTGTCTACAATCTAAAAAAAAACAATTAACAATTAACGTTATATAAAAAAAGCTATCTTTGTAACAAAGAGGCGTAGGTGATTTCTCTTATATTGCCCTAAAAATAAGCTCTATATAATGCAAATACAGCGAATTCCGGAGCGGCTTTTACCTGACCCTGGGACAATTTGTTTATAATGCTGTTTTGCACATCCTAAGTAGGTATACCTACTATGTTAGTTTGTTTTTAGCTAATATGTATGTATTAAAATAACTTTAGTCAAATAATTAAATTATTCTATACGGTACAAGTAAACGTAAGTTTTTCAGGAAAATATAAAAGTAAATATCACTCAGATTTCAAGAGAGGCGGATACGTGTTGATTTTGTTAATGCAGCACACAACACGCAGTTTTTGCGTTATTATCCACCGCACGTGATGTGACACAAGCACGTACCTTGTTTTTTTGTTACATATTCAAAAAGTGTCAGAATGTATAGGGCAACTAAGCTCAGAATAAAAGTAAAACGGGGAAGTCTCATTCCGGAAGCCGTTTTACGTAATGATTATAGGATTATAGCTATAACCACAAAAGGACGTGTTGTAGGGAAAAATGCGTTATTAGGAACCAAAGGACAACCCGGGATTCGCTTTATAAGTAGGTATTAGAGTCTTTATTTGTAAGGGTCATCCGAAAGACCAAAAATCTTGTGAGAAAGAAAATAAAATTCCCATAAAAAGTAAATAAGTATATGATTTTCTAATAGTTTTGTTCTATTTCAAATAATCAATTAAATCAATCAATTTCAAATAATAAATACCTACTCAATACCAGCACTGCAATGTTGGTTGCCTAAGTTCGGTGGTCACGTGACTTGTAAACATTATTGAAGGCTCTGTACTTACCTGATTACTGTTTGGGTGTACCACCGTGAGTGGAGATTTATAAGGATAATCTACTCTTAACCAAAATCGACATATTTACTGTTTTATATTTAATAATTTCTCGAAAATGATAGGCTCTATGGCATGCCAACATGTTGAGAATTAGTCACTGCATATAATTTTAGGACTCTGGTATAATTTCAAATCCACAGATCATCCTTACTGTTTTTAATTTTTGCACAATTGACCGACACTATAACAACACACCAAGACCAAGCCAAAAAGTTTTGATTTTGCCTGGATTTGTTCATTCCTGATGAATTACCAACTGCCCAAATAATTAAATACTGCTTCAAATTTAGGGACTAGGCTAGATTGAAAGGCTACTTACTCTCAACTTCAAATATCCAGATTTTCTTTATGTTGACAAATATTCTTTTATAACCTTGAATAACTATGAAAATGCCTCAAAATTTCAAAATTAAACCTAATCCGTTTATGTTATTGCTCAGTTATAGTAATACTTCCTACCTTTTCGCTGAGGCTAGTAGTTGAGGCTTAAAGTTCTCAAGACGGTCATTCTGGGCTAAATCCGAGACTCTCCCTTGTTGATGTAATTTTCTTAAGTTCATACTTTATTTCACGAAAACAACAGGCGTGAGTTAATAATCACTTTCATTTAAAAAATCCTCATGTTTTGTTATTAATAAAACTGATATGCGAAATATTTAAAAAACTAACCGACACATTGAATGACCGCCACATTGATTCTATTCTACGCCTGCGCACAGCGAACAAAGCATTGAAGTGAAATGCACTAGACTAGGGGGGGCTTTTGTTTTGGCAAAAATAGTACCTAACTAATAGGTATCAGTTCAGAGTAACTCTAAGTTGCTATTAGCTCAATCCAAAGGCCCTTAGAACAGAAAGATTAATAGTAGACTAGTAGACCAAAAAACAACTAATACATAGTAGGTACAACTTAATTATTTTAAATCAAAATTATTACAGGGTGTGTTATTAAAACCCACAATTTTTTTTTATCGAATGAAATTGTTCAGCATTGTAACGTTAAGTGAGAAATAGCGTTGACTGAAATTCTTACTCATCGATTGTAATGAATACAGAATAGAACATAAAACCAATATATAAAAATATAATCACACAGACTACAATATTAATTTAAAGTGTACTTCACTAGTTATGCTAGAAGTATAGGACTATAGAAGTATAGGACTATAGTACTATTACGCTTTATATAAAATTTGTTATAAATTAGTATTATTCATACAACACTGTTATTTGACTGTACATACTTACATACATAGTTTAGGCTATATCACAATCTCATATCGCTTGCATTTTGTTGTCTGCACATTTTCTTTCAGGCAAGCTTACGAAACGACTCATTATTACAATCATCGATAAGGATCCAAAATGACACCCAAAAGGATACCCCCAATAATAAGAGTCCCAAAGGACTTAGTCCACAAAATTCCATTAGATGTAGATCAAACACATTCAGCTCTGTGCAAGCACAAGTAAAAAATCATCCCTTACTGATCGATACCCTCCATTATCTTCACGTATATATTTTTTTAGGCACCAGCACCCCCAGCTTTGATGCGGAAGAATTCACTGAATAAGTCTCCAGTTCAGAATAAGTCAGCTAGTCCTATCGTGGCTAGGAAAGAGAGCCACATCGAGTTAAAGTCTGTCAATAGTTTAAACGATAAAAATGTGACTGAGAGGAGCTTGCCACAAATCAAATTGACAGAATGTACTTCAAGATTTTCTCCAAGACTAAGTGTTTTCAACAGGCTGGAAATGTTTCTGGAACCGACAGGGTGTTTGAAGGAAAAGGATGACTATTCCCTATATTTATTTTCACCCAACAATAGGTAATTCTTAAATTATCTATTTGATTATTTATTTTTTCTAGAATGCAGCATATTGATAAAAATTTATTTCCAGATTTCGAAAGTATTGCTGTTGGTTAGTCAAACAGAACTGGTTCGACAACATTGTACTGTTATTTATAGCTTTGAATTGTATCACGTTAGCCATGGAAAGGCCTAACATTCCACCGGACAGCACGGAGAAATTATTTCTTCAGAGCTGCAATTATATTTTCTCCGTTGTATTCGCCACAGAAATGTTTGTCAAGGTGAGTTTAAAATTTAAAAATATTGATCCAGCAATAATTGCTTATATATATGTACAGTGTTATAAACATTAACAATTGAACTCTTTACAATGTTAAAGAAGTGTCTATCCATAAATCAGGATATCCGTAAACCACTCTTATAAGAAACAAAAGAAGTTCATATTGAAATACGGCTTCTGAGATTCTGCTCTGTTCTCCAGTAAGCCTTGGAAATTTAGAAATAATTGCTCATATGTATGTACAGAGTGTTATAAACTTTAACAATTGAACTCTTTACAATGTTAAAGAAGTGTCTATCAATATACCAGTGTACCCGTAAACCACTCTTATAAGAAACAAAAGAAGTTCATATTGAAATACGGCTTCTGAGATTCTGCTCTGCTCTCCAGTAAGCCTTGGAAATTTAGAAATGCCTATGCAGTTTTTTCACTAGTATGAAAAAAAAAAACGGTTATTTTCTTATATTAAAGAGAATGAAAATATGTATTACTATCATTTTTTAGCAATGTGTGAAAGATGTGATAACTGACAGTATATACATTTCTCCTTTAATAAAAGAAAATAACCATTTCTGGTTAACACTTTCGATAGGCATAGCACCATTAATATACATTTTTGGGCGTATACTGTTAAGAATTGTCTTTAACGATCATATCGAGCTCTACCTGGTGTTAAAGCTTGTAACATCTGTTCGGGGACGCCTCGTATAGTCTAGATTTAAGTAATATTTATAATTTCTTCTAGGTTGTCGCTACTGGTATGTGCTATGGCCCCAACGCTTACTTTACCTCTGGTTGGAATATTATGGATGGATCTTTAGTGATAATATCGTTAGTAGATATAATAATGTTTTTAATCAACGACACTACCTCTAGGATATTTGGAATTTTAAGGGTAAATTAATACATTCTGTATTACTAACATTATTCAACAACAATTTTTAGGTATTTCGATTGCTAAGATCACTTCGTCCACTGAGAGTAATCAACAGAGCCCCTGGTTTAAAGCTAGTCGTACAAACTTTACTGTCGTCATTAAGGCCTATCGGGAACATAGTTTTGATTTGTTGTACATTTTTTATTATATTTGGAATTCTTGGAGTACAGGTATAAAATATTTCATTAACTATTAGTACTTGTTGTTTGTCCAAAAATTAACTATTTTATTTCCAGTTGTTCAAAGGAACGTTCTACTATTGTACAGGAGAAAATCTTACCGGAATTGCTACAAAGCAGGATTGTTTATATAGAGGTTATGAGTGGAAAAATCAAAAATATAATTTCGACGATTTAGTCCAAGCACTCATGTCTCTTTTCGTGCTGAGTTCGAGAGACGGCTGGGTTAACATTATGTACACAGGTTTGGATGCTGTTGGAGTCGACAAACAAGTAAGTGACGTTCTATTAAGAAAAAATTAAACTTCAATTTCGTACCCGCTTTAACGTTAACTTATTATTTCAGCCAGTAGTTAATTACTCCGAATGGAGGCTGCTCTATTTCATATCTTTTATTCTCTTGGTGGGATTCTTTGTGCTTAATATGTTTGTTGGAGTGGTGGTCGAAAATTTCCACAGATGTAGAGAGGAGCAGGAGAAAGAGGAACGAATTCGAAAAGCAGCTAAACGGGCTTTACAAATGGAAAAAAGGAGACGAAGTAAGTATTCTATCGAATCGTCTAAGAACAAATAAAGCTTTTAGGTAAATATTTTTTCCTTAGAATTAGTAGCTATCACACTTTCTCAAGATGGATTGCTTTGACAGATGACAGCCGATTTAACTACTATACATGTCAAATGCATGTATTCACTTTGAATAGGAATTAAAAAGAAATATTTTGGGTTATGACGTGGCCTATATACTTTGTCACTGCCAGTTACAGGCTTATATTGCACTTCCTTAGCTAGGAATCTTTGTCTCGCCCATGTATTTTCGGGTTAGGCTCTGTTGGGGTGGACCTGCTGTCACAACCTCTAGGCCTGCCTTGATCGTTCCGGTTCTTGCTGTTTGTTCTAAGGTCGTTACAGTTAGAATCACTCCTCAGATAATGGTAGTCCTCTGAAACGTTTCATAGTGGCCCCTATTACTGGTCACATCCAGTGCTTCTAAACATTTCACCATCCTTCACTGTCAGCATCTTAGGTGGTGTCTCTGGAAAAGACTGGTTAGCCATGGCAAAGCATTTGCCTCTAATTGGTAAAGTTACAGAGAAAATTCATGAATTTTGGTTAAATCATTTCATTCCAGACATAGTAGAAGGCCTTGAAGAAGGCAAATATACAGCAATTATTCTACCTACTTTCAGTCAGTAACTGAAAAACTTATTTTTGTTTAATTTTGCACGACTGATCTACATCTTATGACTAAGACTGTCGAGAGAGCAGCAATTCAATGCCGTGCCAAACGGATCAACCGAAACATGCATAAGCCGCTGCCTCAGAATGCTTTTCACGTTCACGTCATGTTAGTATACTGTTGGCTTGTTATCGTGCGGAAACCCAACACCTCTACTTCTACACTTCAGTATACTATAAAAAACCATTCAACCCATTTTCAAATCATTAAAAATGAGGGGGAAAACTTTGGAATGTATAGTAGTTCTTCACATGGAAACCATAGCTAGAACTCTATATCTCGCTACTCTGTCTGGTTGGATATCAGTAGAAGCTGAACTCTAAACAATTTCCCAATCTTGCCTAACTTGAACAAAAATAACGGTAAAGTTATATTTAGTTGTTGTTTCAGAAATGAACGAGCCGCCCTACTACATCAACTACTCACCTTGGCGCCTGGACATCCACAAGATCGTTACCTCCAAATACTTCGACTTAGCCATAGCACTTGTGATAGGCCTGAATGTGATAACAATGGCAACGGAGAGGTATAAGATGCCCGAATATTGGGAGTACGCCCTGAGGATTTTCAATTATTTTTTCACCGCCGTGTTCATACTGGAAAGCACCATGAAGCTCATAGCGCTGGGCTTCAAAATGTACATGAAGGACAAGTGGAACCTGCTGGACGTTGCCATTGTGATATTGTCGGTAGTTGGAATTGTTATAGAAGAAATCGTCCAGGATTTGAAGATTATTCCTATCAATCCTACTATTATTAGGGTAAGTACAAGCCATTACTATACGTCTAAAATGCATTAGACAACATGAATTATAGAAAATGTATTAATTTAATATCGCTCTTATAAGGAAGCTATCAGTTTTATACAGGGTGTGGCGTTAATAATCTATAAAAAATTAAACTACAGCTTCCTGATGATATTTGTAATAGAAAACTCATACGAAAAAGTTCTGTCTTCGCGTTTTTTTTTGTAAATTAAAGTTCATTTATTCAACGAAAGTGAAGGCAGACCCTGTCTTATTTATTAAAAACTATGGAAATGTTTTTATGCGACCCAAGATGCAACCTTATAATTTATAATATAAGTTGGTATAATCTAATATTAGTAGTGATGTAAAATAGCATGCTATTTAGTTTTGGGTGATATATATCAAAATATATATCATTATATATATCAGATGAATTTTGTTAAAAAAAAACTATACTCAAATTAGTTTTTTTATATTGCTAATGCCTTGCTGATTAATTTGACACCAAATACATGTCATATATATGAACTTTTAGAAAAGTTATCAAGTGATCTTTATTTTTTTTCATATTTAGATTGGAATTTTATATTTTTTTTATCATAATGACTTCTAATTTTTGTTGCGTACTACTGACTGTTTATAAGCAAGTACGCTGTTTATTAGCAATTTAGTTTTATCAACCCAGAAATAAAAAATGGGAAATTTCTAGAACAAGAAAATTTAGTCTTTGTATATCACAATACGTACTTAAAAAAAATTAAAGATAAAAATTGAAATAAAAATTATCAAAAACTTATGATAATAAAGAAACTGCTTTAAAGTAGTACTTAAAAATCTGAAA